GGTGTCAGAAAACGAACTACAAGCATAACCTTGAAAAGTTGAGTATCGTTACTTTCTATGGTTCCAATCAATGACGACTCCAAATACCTCACCTAGACAACTTTTGTAAATATATCCGAGCAGTAAATCTATTCGGATTTATAAAATGTTGCGTGCAGTCCATCGACTGAAGTCCAATAGTAAATCAGATGATGGAAGCCAAGATTTGAGCGAATTGGTCAAGACCTCTTTCTTTCTAATTTTTTATGTTTTCACAATTAACTTTAGCTTATACATTCAAGAATGAAATGGGTTAAATTGTTACACATACTCTTATGGTTTAAAATTGAAATGTACTCTTGGGTGGCAATAAAGGGTACGAAAGTGATTTGATCAACTTTAGTACCAACCGGTCTATCATTTGATCAAGCATTTATGCCTAGAAAGAATGTTATATAGTGCCGATACTCAGATTTCAGGCTGAGTCTTGTAGAGCCCTTGATACTGTTGACTGAAAATGACCCTTTCGCATCATGAGGTGGTGAACACTGAAAAACTAAGCCACACATGAATACCTTGTACTTGAAAGCGAATCTCCATTTGTCATGGATTCCTAAAGTGCCAGAAAAAAACATCATACTAAAAACTCTAAGGAATTTTAGGAGGAGACAGTAAAGTTTCCTGATCCCAGCCTCTCATCCAGCTGCTCAATTTCGCAGATTCCACGTTCATTGTATCAATAACTCTTCCCATCCAAAAACTTTCTATTTCTCAAACACACCTTCCATGCCACTGTGAAATTAGGCTAAAACATGTAATTTCCCTATTCACTTTTGCTCAAAACAGTCTTATGATGGGCTTCATGCTGCCCACCTGGTTTCTGTCTATGTGGATGAGCAACACTGCCACGACAGCTATGATGATCACTCTGGTGGACGCAGTGACGGATCGTCTTGAGAGCCTTTCCAGGGAGGGTAAGTCAGATAATGGCCGGACAGTAGACTGGTTTGGCCGGCGAGTGGGCTGGTCTGGCTGGGATTTCTACTTTATCACTGATTTGGCCAAAGAACAAGAGATACAAGCATTTAACTTTCCATTTTTAACCCTGAAGACCCTTTGAAGACAATAATGCAATGTTTCGGGTAAAAAGTGGGAATCTTAAAGTTCCTTGACTCGTTCGTTTTACTGCGAAAATTTCATTCAGCATATTTGTAAATATTTTTGTGACTATTTCACTCCAACAGATTTGATTAATATTGCTTGTTTTCCCACTGCTTTGTGAATGTATTAAGTGGCATCTTGCCTCACGTTAAATCGTTACACCATCTTAAAATAATGTAACTTTTGGCTCTGAAAGTTGAATTTTTAATCTTATAGACATTTGCCATAAAAGCTTCATCCTATGGTGTTACGAAAGGGCATGGTTACCAAGGTGTATTCTTGACTTAGAAATTGGGCTTGACTTTAGAGCTCAGGACAGTGTAATAAAGCCTAAATTTTATTGAAGCCTGATACGCTGAAAACGCAATGTCATTCATTTCCTCTCAGACGTCTTTACCCAAGAAGTATATACGAGATGACTAGCTCAGGGCAGAATTGATCACTATTTAATATTGTTCACTGCCCGGCCCAGTTAACCCCTTATCTTTTAATATGTAGCATCTCACTTTTTCCTGCCAACTTTATTACATTCCTCTATTTTCAAGAAGGTTTAAATGGCCTACAAATCGGGAGTTACATCATAAAAAGATCGTGATCCTTTCAGGCACTGAAAAATTACAAAATTATGCGAAGTTACAATTTAGGTATTACTTTGCTTACTCACGTGATCAGGGACGATATTCGGAAAATATGCTTGAGTAATATGTCATAAGCCTGTCTGGCATATGGCAGACGATGTCACAGACAGACGAAATTGCGAATTAAACTCATTTAAACAAAGTGTTCTCAAAATTATTGACTCGTATGATT